ATTCCAAAAAGTAGTGCTGCTGTTTGCCATTTTTCAAACACTTGTGAGAAATGTCTAGATATGTTTTTAATGAACATAACAGAACAAAGAACCTAATAAATAATACAGATAGAATTATTGAAACACCACTTTTATAACTAATAAAAGGCATAAGCCTGTTACCCTCTAAGGTAGGGGTGTCGAACTCAATCAGAGAAGGGGCCAAAATCTAAAATCCAGCCTAAATCGCGGGCCGAATGGTTTACTGAACAGTCATAAACTGTCATTGTGATGGAAACGCAGCAGAGTGCAGTGATGACAGCGCAGTGCAGGCCACATTGCAAGGCCTGGCAGGACGGATTTGGCCCGCGGGCCTTGTGTTTGACACATGTGCTCTAAGGTCAGTTTTGCTCTAGAAACTGCCTCTTCAAAATGCTGATGAAAATTGCATGCCACAAATATGTAAACATAAAAATAACAACAAAAAATATTTTCTCTTTTTTGAGAAAAGAGGAAGTATTTAAAATTAAACACAATTAAAACCTTAATTATTCAGTAACTAAAATTGCATTTATTATGTGTCTATTAATAATATGTATGTGGAAAATCAGTACAAATGTGTTATAAGTTATAGAAAGTAAGCTTTTTCTTTTATTAAAGTCTAGTTAACATACAGTATTATATTCGTTTTAGGTACATACCATAGTCAACATTTCTATTCCCTATGATATGATCATGACAATGTTGGTCTGATAAACATATGTCACCATACAAAGTTATTGCAATAATACTGACTATTTTTTCCTAAGCTGTATATTATACCCCCATGACCTTTTTTATATAATTAGAGGTTTGTACCTCTTATTCCCCTTCACCTTTCCCTCAGTTCTTTCTCTCACTACCTTCCTCTGTAGCACTACCAATTTGTTCTCTCTCTCTCTCTCTCTCTCTCTCTCTCTCTCTCTCTCTCTCTCTCTCTTTCTCTCTCTCTCTCTCTCTCTCTCTCTCTCTCTCTCTCTCTCTCTATATATATATATATATATATATATATATATATATATATATATGTGTGTGTGTGTGTGTCTGTGTGTGTGTGTGTGTGTGTGTGTTTTGTGTTTTAGACTCCACAAGTATGTGAATTCACACAGTACTTGTCTTTCTCTATCTGACTTACTTCACTTAGCATAGTACCCTCCAGGTTCATCCACTTTGTTGCAAATGACAAGATTTTCTTCTTTTCATGGCTGAGTAATATTTCACCGCATATAGATACCACATCTTTATCCATTTATCTATCAATGGACACCTAGGTTACTTTCATATTTTACTTTCATATTGTGAATAATGCTGCAATGAACATTGCTGGGGTGCATGTATCTTTAAAAAAGGCAACCTACTGAATGGGGGGAGATATTTGCAAATGGTACCTCTGAAAAGAAGTTAATATTCAAATATACATAAAGAATGTACATAATTCAATATTAAAATAACAAAGGATCCAATTGGGTAGAGGACCTGAACAGACAGTTTCTTCAAAGAAGGCATACATATGGCCAACAGACATGTAAGAAAAACATTCAACATCACTAATCATCTGGGAAATACAAATAAAAACTACAATGAGATATCACTTCACACCCGTTAGAATGGCTATTATCAAAAAGACAACAAGTTACAAGTATTAGTAGGGGTGTGGAGAAAAGGTAACCTTCTTGCACTGTTGGTGAGGTTGTATATTGGTGCAGCCACAATGGAAAATAGTATGAAGGTTCCTAAAAGTATTTTTAAATAGAACTACCATGCAACCCAGAAATTCCACTTCTGGATGGGTATTTATCTGAAGAAAAAGTAAGCTTTACAATGTAATCTCAGAATAAACCTATAATAATCAAAATATATCTATAACAAGAAGAGGTGCAAGCAGCCAAAGACCAAACTTTGCCCATTCTTCCTGTACAACACTTTTACTTCAGCAAAGAACTTTAGTTCAGACTTTCACACACTCACACCAGGACTATCAATCTGAGTCTCCTAAGTAGTTTGCTTTGTGTCATCCACATGAATGCTCTCATTTTCTATTCAAAACCTTTACTAGTTCTCCACAAAACAAACTCTAAACTCCTTGGCCAAGTAGATAGTTAGCACCATTTAATGCTTCCAAACATATCACCCCTAGTCCACGTTCACAGGGGCCTACCCTCCTGCACTTCACCTCGAAGTCCAGTCACACAAACAACGCATTCCTGAATTTCTTCATAATCTTGGTCATCCTGAAGTATCCTCTCCTTTCCCTTATGCCCACATACCTGAATTCTACCCTCAAAACCAGATTACCTTCAACAATTCCCCCAACCATCCAGGCCAGAGTCCCTGTAGCTGACACCACTTGTAAAGCCCTTGCTATACACCATCTCCTATATACTATGCATTCAAATATATAACTTATTCCAACTGTACTACACAATTTAAGAACACTTCCTACACCACTTCTTCATATTATAGTACCTTTTACCCAACCTCTGCCCTCCTTAACCACAATGGCCAGCATAGCATCTTTCTGATGCAGGTGCTCAGCTAGCATCTACTGACTCAAATATGTATTGCATGAAAATTAAAAACTAAGAAGAATAAATATGAACCAAATAAGACTGTTGAGAAGCTGAATAGCTTTTTCTTTAAAATTCTTGAGGATTTGAAATTCAAGATGATGGTAGAGTAATAAGTTTGCCCAAGATGCCATGCTTTTCCAATGTGTCCCCAGAGAATCCTCTGCTTACACCATCACAATGCACTACAAATGCATGTTATCTTGTCTATCAATCACCCACGATTATCTAAAGTAAACACAACTAAAGAACAACCTTTACTAGACGTATAAATGTTAAATAAAGTTAATTCCTGACTGTGCAATTTTAAGTGAGACATATGGCTAAAATTCTAAGAACTGCATTTATGTATGTATTTACCACAAACATCAAGAGAAATCCTAGGACACGTGTGTGCATGTGCATGATTTTTATACCTCATAGAACATTTCTAGAATAAAGCACAATTTCAGAGAGGGAAAATGAGGAAATAAAGGGGGATATTTTACTCTCCACTATTCTGTATTACTTTTTTTTAAACCATAGAATATGTATAATTTTCAAATTAACTCATATCCCTCACACACACACACACACAAGAAGCAGCCTGATGGCAGTTAGAACATTTTTAATTAGTAGTTACTTTTAAACAAATAAAAATTTTAGAGACTAAGAGCTGAACATGAAAGAAAACGTAACTTAGTGAGGTTTTGGAAGTTCAATAGGGATATTTTTTTTTTTTTTTTTTTGGTATAATAGACAAACTCCTTCTTAACTTAGCACTTCCTAATTTAAATTATTTCATCTATGTGCCAACACTCCTATATACTTCAGGATAGAATTACCAGAAGATATAACCCACCCTTTCAAATAGTAAAAGAGAAAGTAAACTTTTCCCAAGGTACAAGATACTAATAAGAAAAGCTCCTCAGCTATTAGGTAAAATTCCTCCTCCACAGTGACTTTAAATCAAATGCACTTTTTAAGTAAAGTGCTCAGTCCTCATAACAGAAGGTGTCTGCTGAAAAATGTCTAGGCATCACACATCTACTTCTCTCCCTTTTATCAGAGCAAAAACATCTGGTCTTTTGTGGGAGATTTTAAACCACGTGACGTAAGTCTCCTGAAGCCACGATCTTCTCATCTTCATTTACTAACCACTACAGTAATCTATCTTAGGGACCATTCGTTCAGTAAATGACATTTCCCCAAAACTCTAACCTTGTAAAAATCAACAGAATAGCATGCTCTGATAAGTAAGGAAGCATTCATCTCTGCACATATTAGATTGCCATTTTTTACATTAAAAATATATTAAAAACATAAATGATTAAGGCCTCCTTTATGAAATAACTCCAAATCCAGTTTGGTTTTATACTCGCCCAGGGATCACCGCCGAAGCCCGTGGTCGGCAAACTGTGGCTCTCGAGCCACATGCGGTTCTTTGGCCCCTTGAGTGTGGCTCTTCTACAAAATACCACGGCCTGGGCGAGTCTATTTTGAAAAAGTGGTGTTAGAAGAAGTTTAAGTTTAAAACATTTGGCTCTCAAAAGAAATTTCAATCGTACTGTTGATATTTGGCTCTGTTGGCTAATGAGTTTGCCGACCACTGTCCTAATTTTCTAGTTAATTGCAGGAAGTTCCATGTGACACCCTTAAAGACAGAATAGAAGTGAGGTGGTCATAGGATATCAGGAGTGAGGAAGCCCCAGTTCCGTCATATTCGCTTCAGGCCAGGCAAGAGTGTACACACCTTGACACAGTCTAGTTTCTAGATCTCAGTGATTGATCAGAAAAAGAAGGTTTTCCTTCCAAGAATCAGGACTCGTCTTTGTACCTTAAAGTGTTTCCGAATGCCTCCTCTCGGTCTCGTCAGCTCACCGCCTTGCAGAGATGAGAAGACTTGCTTTTCCTACCACTCCTGCCATCTGGAAGACCCTCTCTGTTTCATTCCTCTCCATAAATAGTCCATCTGTGCTCAAATCTCATGATGAAATGCATCCTTGATCCTTTGCCTCCACTTCTTAATTTCCTTTGACTTCCGTTCCTGTCAATTCTTCTACACCAAGCTCTTGTTTTCCATATTTTGCTATGCTGGCTACATCTTTCTGCTTAACCATTATGGAGGGTGGGGGGGAGGGTGTTGGATCAATCTCCTTAAAATAACAAAGTTATAGTTCTGACTGCAAACTGAGACTCTCACAACCTCTATATAAAAGCAGTAAACCACTTTTCAAATTTTTACTAGCATGGTTATTTTAAAGAAAAGAAAAAAAAGGAGAAAGAAATAGTTTTAGAAAGCTTTCCAGATTTATAGAGGTTTTAAATTTATTAAAACCAGGTAATTCATCCCAAACAGTTCTTATACTTCTCCCACGATGAGACCAAACCAAGTCACACACAAAAAAGGAATTTGTAAAACTGCAACTCACATACCTGAGGGTATGGGGAAGTCCTGGACTTTGACTTTGAACTGGAGAGTCTGGTCTTGGCCCCCTTCCTGCTGTCAGGGATGGTAGGAGTGGAGCTGCTGGCGTAGGAGAAGGTTGGTTTGGAGGCTGAGATCTGATCCAGGGAGAGTTGCAGCCCTTTGTACTCTGTGTCCCTGCAGGGTGGGAGGACATAGCCCTTCATCAGCCACCAGAGGCAATGGAATGCATGCATTCTCTCACCAGGAACAGAGTAATCCATATTCAAAAAGGAAGCAAGCAGTAGTTGGTCAACAACTGGTTTCCACAAACACCTTGATTGTTTTTAGAAATGCCTAACGTTTAACTAATGTGTGTGACTATGGTCAAATTATATTAGTATATGCTCATGAAAATGTCTTGATTAAAATGTTTTTTCAGTATTTTTATAAGGGGGGGGGGCTAATTCACCGTCTTTGAGATTTTTGTCTCCTAATTGGTGAGATATGGATTATAAAACCTACTCTAAAGATTTCCTGTAGAGGGTGAAATCAACAGACAACTGGCTATCTGATGGCTATTTGATTATTGACCAGAAGAATGTCTTCTATCAGCTGTCCCAAGATCAGTAATCCTGATAAACATTCCGAATATTCTTACAGCTAGCAAACTAACCAATTTATAAATAAGTGATTTATTTATAACTTGATTTATAAATAAGTAAAAAATCCCTAATTCATTCAGTTACATTAGGATACATCTTATCACCAGTTCATTGCATTCCTTCCTTCACTCAATAAAGTTGTATTAAGCTCCCAATGTATATGGATTTTGTGCTCTGTAGTGATGAGAGGATAGTAAGATATGTAAAGTCCCTCCCCTTGTGCAGATTACAGTCTATTTGAGAGAAGAAACATTGAACAAATAAACAAGCATATTGCAGACTGAGTGTATCTCAGAGAGTTCATTGCAAAGCTACTCCCTGAGGTACTTAGGGGCTGAAGATGACAGCCTTGGCCCCACCCACAGCTCCCACCTGGGTCCATTCCAGGCAGCGGGGCTTCTCCTCTGACTCCTTGGTTTTCATAAAGGATATCAACCCTTTCCACTAGCAGCTATATACGATGTTTCAGAGTTTTCTTTATAAGGACTCATGAGAAAATTCTCCTTTAGGTTCCAGAATTAGCTGGGTTGCTCCGGAATATTTGTTATCTTTTTATTTCATGAATATTGTGAACCATACAACTCACCATGTTTTTCTATCTGCACTAGAATTCAAAAAGCCCCAAGTGTCATGGCAGATATTTGTGCAACAAACTCCACTGGCTTCCATTAGTTTTCTTATCTATTTTTCCTTTTATCTAATGGATTCACCTTTTAAAAATTTTTATATGCATTTTTATGCTCTTTAGGATGGGTTTATGAAATATAATAAATTGATAACATTATAATGTAAAAGTGACTGGCACACTTCCATGGATCAGCAAATATTCATTTACCTTTTATTCTTTTCCCCTGTTTATTCTTCTACAGAGAGATCAGGCAAAAGTAAAAGTATAATTCAGGCCAGGAGTCCCTCAAGTGACTAGGAATAGAAACCAGCTAAAACAGTTTAATGATATCTCTGCCACAAACTACAGTCTAGTGATTATGTCAGCAAATTACAATGGCTTCATTTCAAATAATCCATCTAGTCAGTGAGAGTAAAAACAAAATTCTCCTACAATAGCAACAATAATTTAGAAGGTGAACATGCAAGTTGTCTTCCAGGCTGGGGAAGTCAGATCACATCCCTGGTCTGTCTTACTGCTCTAACCAACTCCTTTAAGGACAACACACAACACAAACTCAGCACTCCTTGGCCAGAAATCCGAAGTGCTCCAAAATGTGGAACTGTGACTCCCCCCTATTTTTCTGACAATATCTCAAATTTTTCCTTCATCAGCCCCTCACTTCATCCAAAATAGTTCTCCTCAAACAGACCTCATACTTTCCTGTCTCCCCACCCCCAAAACATACCTTTTTCACAAAGAACTACCTTAATGCCACTAGCCTCTATGAAGCCCTTCCTCCGTTCCTTCAATACTAGTCCATGTGTACTGAGTGTCGCTGTGTGCGCTCTGTTCCAGAGGTGGCGGAGACATCAATGAACAGAAGGACTAAGTCACTCTCCTCAGGAAAAGGCATTAGGGAGAAGTAGAAGTGGGACTAAAAATTACCCTTTTCCTCCTCTAACCTTACTTTTCAAGTGATTACGTGTTATCTTTCCCAGTGAATTCTAAGTACTTAGAGGACAAGAATCATGAGATGTTCCGTTGTGGTCCAATGCCATTTGCACAATATTTCACAGTTGCAACTAAGAAAGAATTGCTTCCCCCAGTCATTGTGAACAACCTGACCCCCATCAGCCTTTCTCTGTGGGAAGAGACCCCCGTTGATGGTAGGGCCCCTCAGAGCACAGGTGTGACTGTGAGACCGGAAGATGGGCTCTGAGAGAAGGTCTCATCAACACGTGGGCATCTTCTCTGTCAAATGTGACCTTGTCTACTGGGCAGTAGGGTATTCACCCAGTCCTTGCCTGACAGGCTTTAGACTGACAGCAAAAATCATGCACCCCTGAAAATATGGCTAAATGATTTTGTACACTTGTTCTTAATGCAACATTTTAGCACAGGGACTTCATAGCTACAGTCAGAGAGTAAGCAAGACTTTGTTTTTCTCTTGAACAATCTCAGACTCCACAGATATGCATCTCAACTAATTGAAAAAGTTTTTCCAAAATGTTTGCACAGCTTCCAATGACAGAAATACTCCAAATCAAATAGGCTTAAATAACATTGTAAAACCAATAAATGACTTGAAACTCTAAATGCTCACATGAAAACTCTAGTAATGTAAGATTTATACAAATGCCCTTGACAAATTAATAAAAATGCTTTATGTTTTGATGCATCTCAAAAAATACAAAAAACTAATCCACTAGGTCAGGGCTTGAGCTGCTTCTTTTGTAATAACATGTCTAGACTTCAATTCTCTAGTTATAACTCATAGGGATGGGGATAGATGAAATGTTATATGAAGAACTCATAATACAGTGCCTAGAACATAGTAAATGCTCAATAAATGTTATCGTTTCTTAACTCCCACATTCCATAGCACTTATTCACTACCAAATTCCCCCCAGAAAAATACTTTGGTAGCAATTGTAATCCATTTAATGACAAACACCTCCCTGTTCTGTATTTCTTTTCACCCCAAACTCATTTTAATCTGTTAGTTTTTAGCCTCTCAACTCTATGGTCAAAATACTTATTAAGGTAAGTTCTTTACTGCTAAGTCAGCAAACGGCACCCTTAGAGCAACACAGACCCAATACGCTGAGAAGAGCTCAGCCCGTACAAAACTCTAACAGCTCAAAAAATGTGTTCGGATGCAAAGTACAATAAAAAAAAAAAAAAGCCCACTTAAAGACATTTCAAGTACGGTTGATGTGCTGCCAAGAGGAGTCTGAATGGCAGATTCACTAAGAACAAAGCATTTGTTTTATTTTTAGAATTCTATTAAATTGAGTATTTCATTTGTATAGATTAAAGGGCTAGCTGCTGATGGGAATCACATTACGAGTTCCATTTCCCTCCTCCAGACTCAGACACAAAGAAGAGTCTGGCCTTACCTCTCTCCCTTCCACACAGTGAAGCTTGTGCTGTTATCACACACACTCTCAAAGTTAGGTGTATGCATAAGCAATGCTTCCCTTTGGGGTGGGACAAAATGAAATTATTGGGCACACAGACCTTGACTCTAAAACGAGTACAGGGAGAACTTGACTCAGCTGACTTTCATAAAGGAAGGACACAGCCTGCTCTACTCCTGCAGCTTTCCTGAAAGTGCCACACTGACCCTGTGTGGGACTGCAGAGGTGTCTGTCTTATGCGGAGCTCCTGTAGTTCTCCCAGACATGATTGGCATATCCAAACAGGAAGTGTAGCATACACGTTTTGGCATATTTTTTCAAAATACCGATGATGCCAATTTACATGTGTTTTCATTTTCTCCCTTGAATGGCTTGTACCAGAGCTGCAGACATCCTGTGTATCTCAGCTGTGGAAGCAGCACTAAATGGGTAATTTGCGATAGGACACACAGCTTGTCAATTTCACCCGTATTTGTACAGACCAGAGTAACCCTCTTATTCCATTATGGACAGTGCGAAATCATTCCATTTGCAGAATTAACCATCTGAGTCTACTCTAAACTTTGTAAGAGTCATGTGCACATTTGGAATTTCTCAAATTCCAATGAAATAAAAGGAGCCGTTTTCACATCGTTGGCCTTCTAGCATCCCCTTAAGCAATATACTTTACCCTCCCATGAGGTAAATGCCACCTTGCTATGTGGGGAGTTCAGGGTGACTCCCTTGCAAAGCAAAAGAGGAGGTGTCTTCACCACTAAAAGGTATTATCAGCTTCAGAGAAATGCATTTCTATCGTTTTAACTGGGAGACACGCCTCAAGGATGCCAATGGTAGCACAAACATATTTACGGCCTTCAAGTGAAATGGAATGGATGCACGGAGAAAAGGTAACGATATTTTATCAGCTCAAGTTGAACAAAGATTCTTTGCAAGACTTTTCCTCTTCAACTCGCTGCACCCTATTCTACTTCCATTTAAGACAACTGAGTTTTTCTTCTTATCATTTCAGTTTCGGAGCTGGCCATTCTGGAGCTTCTTTGTTGACTTTGTTACTTGGCAATTCTTAAAAGATGTTGCCAGATTTCCCAATTGAGCTATTTTTTTAAAACAGCTGAAGGTGATCAAATTACCGAGGAAAACGTGGAAACAAAGACGTACAATTGATTTGGCTCCAAAGGCGCCGACTGAAATAAGCAGAGGATTGTATTAAACCGTGATCGGATTAAGTGGGAATGACTGCGCCTTATACTAAACTTTTTAATTGGATTCTAGAGTCACTGTTACACGAAGTGCCTGACCTTCTTTATATTCTGGCAGAGTTCCTGCCTGGCCACTGGGTGAACCTCTGCAGCAGAGAGCCCTGCTTTATGCTTCATTTTCAGGCTCCCAGGGAGCCCAGCAGAGAAAGCTGATAAGGAGGATCCCACACTGTGAGGGGCTCGCAGACTGGGACAGTCTGCTGGGAAATTAGGCTAAGGCACCCTTGGAAATGTAATAGTGTCG